TCTTTCCCTTATCTCTGTCTCTGCCTTTCTCATGAACAGCGTCAAATCATGTTTCCAGAACATGGAGATTTGCAAGCGTCGGGTGAATATGTATGACACCGTGAACCAGAGCAAAACCCCTTTCATCACTCACGTGGCCCCCAGCACATCCACCAACCTGACCATGACCTTCAACAACCAGCTGAACACTGTCCACAACCAGGTAAGTGGGGAGCAGAGAAGGCCGGAGGGGCAGACAGCAGCAGGAACTGTATTTCCCCAGCCAGCCCAGTCAGAAGACAGAATTCCTCTACTGTCGCATTCAACCCTGTAAGAAGGTGTTTGCGTCAGGTTATTTCCTTTGAGAGCCCTGGCGCTTTCTGTCTACTGGGGGCCCCATTGAACAAGTTGTATGCAACTCACTAAGGAAGTTGCTTCTGAGATGGTACCTCTTACCACTTCTCTCTGTCCTGATGTAGGAATAAGGTAAAGGAGATGCTACGATCCATGTCCGGCTTCTGGTAAAGAATTCTGAACTGGGACACTGACAATCATCCAGTTCGGGCCCCTCCTCCTTATCAGACAGCTGTGTCCCCATGACCTCCTTCCAGGACAGAGGAAACCTGTCCTTTCTCCAAGTCATGGGGAAAATCAAGTCAGTCTGTCATCAGAATTCCAGCACCTGGAACTGAAAGGGAACAGGAAACTAAAGTTTTCTTCCCATAGATTTCCAACCTTTCACAGAAAATTAGCAGAATCAAGCACCTAACATGCTGCTTAAAATATGGATGACACTAGGAAATATTTATTGACTGAATAATCTCCAGGCCCTACCTTGGCAGTCTCTGGTGTCTAAGAGACTTTTACTTCCGTCTTCCAGTGTGACCAGTTCCCCAAAGAGTCTCCCTAGATTTTTTCAGTTTTGATATCAATCTGCAGTGACAACACTCCTGTGTGCGTATACTCACTTGCGTGCACACGCATGCCTCCAGAAGAGAGGCTGTGCTTCCCAGCCTAGCCTCTCTCCCTCTGCCTAAACTCTAGGAGAGGACACCCAGCATCTGCTGCCCCTGGCGGCCACTGGTGTTCTGAACGCTCTCCTGAGCGGGAAGACCTAAAGCTCGCTAAGGTCTTAGCGCGCAAAGAAACAAACATTCCCTCCCAGCACCTAGCCCAGCCCTCAGGCTAAGGCATCCACAGCCAGACAGGCGAGGTCCTCGACAAAATCTCACCATAGTTTTGTCCTTCCTCACCAGAACCCCACCACAGTGCGTAGACTGGTCTGGCTGGTGCCAAGAGCACGCAGAGCAGAGGAAGATCAATTTAGAAGGGAAGGTTGGCCAACCCCAGGGAACGAGGGAGTGCGGGGCCAGAGTGCATAGACGGTGTCCGTCAGGCAGTAATTGGAGACTTTTGAGTGGGGGGTGGCATGCACAAAGTAGTCTTTTGGAAAGACCGTTCTGGCCTTGGAAGAGAAGAAGTGGAGGCCAGAACATCTCTGGTCAGAGCGTCCCAGTCCCAGGCACCTCAGGAGAGGACCTCCACTGGGGAAGTAGCGATTGATGAGAGTCAGTGGGTTCCAGGGACATTTTGAAGGAAGAAGCAGCAAGCCTCGTGGCTGACCAGAAGGTGGGACAGTTGAGGATACCGCTGCCCCAAAGAGGGAAGCCCAAGGCTCCAGGACCTGCACAGAGTCTGGACTTGGACGTGTGGAGTCTGAGCAGAGAGTGGGAATTATGTCTGTGGGGAAGCCTCCCAGAGAGATGGGGACGTGCAGAGAACCAAGAGGAAACACAAGGCACGTCATCAGTAACAGAATGCGGACACTGGCCCACACGTGTTGCACTCTCTCCCCTCACACTACCTGGAGGCCAACCATGTGGGGCTGCACAGACACTTAACATTACAATGTGTATCTTAAAATGCAAACGTGCGCCACATCCCTTAGTAAGTACCCTCAAACAAATAAATGTGCTTTGCACCGAAAGGCAGCATAAAATCTAAGTATAAAAAAATATGTAAAATGAGACTTTACCCTTTTTATCAAATTTGACACAAATACATACCCTTCGTGTAATTCTATTCTTGTACGTGTCCAAGATGTCCTTGTGATCCTTTACTCCTTATTCTTTGGTCCTTGTAACCCCTGGTGGCCAACCCTCTTGTAAGCAATGGTGACTTTGAAGCCATTGGTAACCTCCACCTACCATGCTGAAGATCAGTGTGAATAAAGCTAAGATGGGGTAAAATTGGACAATTCCCAATTTAGAAGTTATTTTCCTTCTGCCTCCCTGCTTCACATACAAGTTCGATGTCAAATGATGTTGCTTTCTGAAAGAGAAAGGAGAGAGGACATAATTTCAAAATTGCTCTCACCTATCTCCACTTCAATTCTCTTGACCTAGCATCTTTTCTCTCTCAGTGTGCCGCTCCCTCTCTGTTTGTGTAGCGCAGTGTTGGCGAACCTTTTGAGGTCGGCGTGTCAGCATTTTGAAAAACCCTAACTTAACTCTGGTGCCGTGTCACATATAGAAATTTTTTGATATTTGCAACCATAGTGAAACAAAGACTTATATTTTTGATATTTATTTTATATATTTAAATGCCATTTAACAAAGAAAAATCAACCCAAAAAAATGAGTTCGCGTGTCACCTCTGACACGCATGTCATAGGTTCGCCATCACTGGTTTAGCGTATTTCTTCGCAGTAACTACTGTGCGACCGTCTGAGGGTCTCTGTAACCAATGCTGCCCCCAGCCCTCCCCAGGCATGTGTGCCCTGGGCCTGCAGGTGCCTCTTCCTGGGCTGCACCCTCAGGTCCATGTATGTGCACCCCAAACCCCTCAAGTGTGGGGCAGAGCAGGGGTTCAGCTTGCCCCCGTCACTATGTTCCAGGACAGAATCCAAGGAATCCAGGAATCCTAAACTCAAACCTGGCTTTCCACGGTGTTGTGAAGATATGTTTGTCACAGTGGAGGGCAGAACATAAGTCATCTCTAGTCTGATTTTTAACTTTGTAGTGTTTAGACATGTGGTCTGGGAGCATCGTTTGCTCTCTTGCCTGGGCCCCACAAACATCAGGAACAGCACCGAAGGCGACGTCACGTGGCTGCAGGCACCTGCTTCTCCTTGAGACTTTCCCACCGAATTTCCACTCCCCTCTATTTCTGCTCCTTTGCCCTTGGTTTTTGTTTGTTTGTTCTTCTTTGAGTTCATTTTTTTGACTTAGATTCGTGTTTCCCAACCTGCCACCACCCTCATTTTTTATTTTTGTTTATTTTTGTTTAATCCCCATCATTCCTTTAGGCTCCCACCTCCACCAGTGCCACTATTTCCTTAGCCAATCCCGAGGTCTCCATACTAAACTACCAATCTGCACTCTACCAGCCCTCAGCGGCATCCATGGCTGCGGTGGCCCAGCGGAGCATGCCCCTGCAGGCGGGAACAGCCCAGATTTGTGCCCGGCCAGACCCCTTCCAGCAAGCTCTCATCGTGTGTCCTCCCGGCTTCCAAGGTAAGGGTGAGCAGACGCCACCTCTCACTGCTTCTGACCGGACCACCTCAGGGGCTCTGACACCGCAGGGCTCCGTCACGTCGACTTCCCTGGCATAAGGCCCTCTTCATTGCTTTCCATGGGCACTGGCATCCCTGAACTGTGGCCAGCCGAGAAACAGTGGGACTGTTATTCTCACCACCTGCCAGTGATTTGTCCCGGAATGACTGTTTTTAAATAAGCACATTGTTGTGCTCCCATTGTCATGCTGGTATCAGCTCTTGGACACCTCACATGAAATATCCTCCATGTGGCTTATCTGTGCCAATCCCTGACTACCAAGGCAGCCAGTTCTCATGAAAAACATACCTCCCAGGCTACCCCTGCTGATTCTTCAGCCATACACCCAACACGCTCCTCCCGGAGCCTCTAAGAAGCTAGAGTTGACCATGTACTTGGCTACAGTTTACACAGAAAGCCCAAGAATCTGTTGTGGCAAGCCCCACAGGGGCAAGCATGTGTCGGGGCCCAGTTTCAGAGTCAGGGCCACTCCAGATGGACTCCTCTGTTCCCTCCCCACACCGGCTGTGACATAGTGACACACACGTGTCTTCCTGTCAGAAGCACGTTTTCCTGTCGTGACTTATCAGCATAACATTCCACTTTTGGCTTTACAGACTCCTTGATTTCACTTCTAGTCTTTGAACCCATTTAAGGTTGTCTTTTGCTTTTGGTTTCTAATTTAAGTTAGAAACGAAAGGAAAGAGTCCTAAGGACCAGGCAATGCCTGGAGGGGACCGGTGCAGAGAGGAGGGGAGAGCTGTCTTCCGCCAGCTTGCTCGCATCACTCAACCCCTCTCTCCCTCGCCCGCTGTCTGGAGCAGGGCTGCAGGCCTCTCCCTCGAAGCATGCTGGCTATTCCGTGCGAATGGAAAATGCTGTTCCCATCGTCACTCAAGCCCCAGGAGCTCAGCCTCTTCAGATCCAACCAGGTCTGCTTGCCCAGGTAATTCTCTCTTTATGATTCCCCGTATTGCCATTATCCCTGTTAATGTTTTCCACAAAAGAGATGTATCTCTGCTAATTCCCTCCCTGGCAATGAGTTAGGTGCTTCGAGTCATTAGAATATCTCTGTAATATTCTGCATGATGCCCGAGTGAATTATCTTCCTAAGTGCCTAGCTTACAATTCCAAGAAGAAATTTAGACAGAGGGAGAATCTAGGGAGATTATTATTGTATCTTTGTAATGCAAATTAATATGGAAGATCCAGGTTTTAATCCTAACTCTACTAATAACTCTCTGTGACTCTACTAATAACTCTCAGCGAACATTTCTTTGCCCCAATTTCCTTCTTGTAAAATAGAAATTATTTTTTAGAGCCAAATAAGCCTTGGAGGTGATTTATTTTATAGTTGAAACAGGGTTACAGACGCAGTGAGCTGGAACCTTCCTGATCTGTTCATATAGGTGCTCTGATGGTAGAATGAGATCATGGAGGTGACAGTGATGAAAATCTGTAAAGTGTTATGGGAATGTAAGGTAACACAGTGATACAACGGTCATAGTAACGACACGAACTTTAATAACAGATACCTCATCACTAAGCCAGGTTCTTTAGTTATGTTTTATTTAAGCCCCACAACACAGTAAGATATTTGTCGCCTTTTGACAACAATGGAAGATGAGGCACAATCACTGGCACAAAGTCACATAGCAATTAGGTAACGGAACCAGGACACAAACCCCAGAAGATGACACCAGCATCTGTACTTACCCCCATGCTAGACTGCTTCCGTGTGATCATTTCCGTTGTTGCTGCTGAGGACAGCTTGACCTCAGTGTTGTTGAAGCACCTTTATTTTCATTTTGTTTTTTTCCATCACCATTTATCCCCTCTACTCCCTCTTCCACCCACGCCCATAAGCACCTTTATTTTTAAATAAGGCAGGCTCCCAAAGGCTTTTCTCAAAGTGTTTCCAAAAACACTTTATGGCGTCCTTTGTTTAATAGAAGTTTGCAGTTTTCATTTTAATGTAGTCAAGTTGTATAGTTGTTTGGGGCTCTCTATTCCATTCCATTGGCCTAATATCCTATTGTCTTAACTGTTCTAATTATAATATGTCTTGGTATCTAGTAGGGATCGCTTTCCTCCAAATTTCCTTGTCTATTCTTGTCCCTTCACTTTTCCATGTGAATTTAAAGATTACTCCTACATAAAAATTTTAGTCCCCGCACACAAAAAAAGTGTTGGTTTGTATTTCTTGAACTTGACTAAAATTTATATTTACTTTAGGAACAACTGACAGTTTAATAAAATTAAGGATTAAGTCATTCCATCCCTGAATATGGTACAACTGTATATGTTACCTTTTATTCCTTTCATTAAAGTTTTCTTTTGTTGGAATATTCTTAAATATTTTATAATTTTTTGTCAATAATTTCATTCACTATATATTTTAATTACTTGTCTTTGGTGTATAGGAATATACTGATTTTGGTCTATTGAGTTTATCTAAACTCTGTTTAGTTCTGATTGTTTCTATGGAAACCCTTGGATTTTCTATGTGGACTATCTTTTTATTTGCATATGATAGTTTTGTTCCTTCCTTTACAATCCTTATACCTTTTATTTTTTGTTCTCCTATCACTGTGCCGACAGCACCTCCAAACCAATATTTAATAAGTGTTGATATTGGGCATGCTTAACTTTAAAGGAAATTCTTTTAGCTGTTTGCCATTTGGTATTTTGTTTAGGATAGTTGATAAAGACACTTTATCAAGTTTGCTAATTTTTAATAAAGTAATACCAAATGTTCTTCCTGCATCTGTTGAAATACTCACATTTTTGTTCCTTAATCTGTTAATGTAGCAAGTTGCTTAATAGATTTGCGGTGTTCAACTATCCTGTGTTTCCGAGATAAACTTTATTTGATCATGTTGTGTTTGATATGTTTGTATGCTTTCCAATACTGGATTGTTTGTAAATACTGTAGTTAGTACTTTTGCATCTGTGTTCATAAGTAAGGAATGGCATGTAATTTCTTTCTCTTAGAGAATCCTTATTTGATTTGGGCATCAAGGTTACACCAGCCTCATAAAATATGTTCATTATTACCTCTTCTTCTGTCTTCTGGAACAGCTTGGTTAAGGTTGATGTTAACCATTCTTCATCTCTTTGTTCTTTCAAATTCACACTGCAAGTGACCACTGACACCAGCTCCTATAGCAGTGATGGCGAACCTATGACATGCGTGTCAGAGGTGACACGCGAACTCATTTTTTTGGTTGATTTTTCTTTGTTAAATGGCATTTAAATATATAAAATAAATATAAAAAATGTAAGTCTTTGTTTTACTATGGTTGCAAATATTTAAAAATTTCTATATGTGACACGGCACCAGAGTTAAGTTAGGGTTTTTCAAAATGCTGACACGCCGAGCTCAAAAGGTTCACCATCACTGTCCTATAGGCAAAGTCTTATCTTTTGGGTCATTATAAACAGAGAATCTTCTGTATTAAAAGCAGGCCTTCTAGTCCTGCCTCTTGCACTAGTCCTCATAGCTTCCTTCTGTTTGCACAGTTTGGTAGCAGGGCATTCAGAAAAGGCCAAGGTAGATCAAGAGAAAGAACTATAGCTCATTCCAGAGCAAAGTAGCTTGTTCGTACTTTATTTGAGTAGCAGAAATCCAGGCCAGTCTCCCAGTGCTACTCCTCTGTAAGCGAAAATCTAGAGATTCACAGGCATATTAAAGGGTACTTTTATTTTTTATTTTTTTTCTCTATCCACTGAGCCAAACCGGTTTCAGCTAAAGGGTACTTTTAAATCCTCTTTTTGTGTTTGCACAGTTAACCCTTGTAAGCCCAGAACTATCTCTGAAAGAAATTACATTAGCATCTCTTTTTTAAATATTTTTTATTGATATTTAGAAATGGAGGGAGGGAGCGGGAAGAGAGAGAGATAGAAACATCCATGATGAGAGAGAATCATGGATCAGCTGCCTCCTGCACGCCCCCCACTGGGGACCGAGCCCGAAACCCAGGCATATGCCCTTGACGGGGAAACGAACCCGGGACCCTTCAGTCTTCAGGCCGACGCTCTATCCACAGAGCCAAACCAGCCAGGGCTACATTAGCATCTCTTATTAGCTAACATAGACATTCTTCATTGTTCAGTTTGGGAGAAACCAACAGGCTCAGCATCCATCTTTAGTCATAGCAAAGGAGAGTTTTACCTTTTGCTCACATGGAAAAGGGTCCCGAGCGTATTGTAAATCTCCAAGTGGATTTAACCTAAAGCTGTAATTGGGAAAGTGAACAAAAAGCGTGTGTGTGTGTGTGTGTGTGTGTGTGTGTGTGTGTGTTTAGTTGCTACAGTGTATATAACAGGGAACTGCTGGAAATCAGTTGAATGTTCATTTGTGGGAGATTTGTTAAATTCGTGTGTGCATAAAATGGAACACCATGCATTAAAAAGGATAAGGTAGACTAGTGCGTCTGCACAGGCAAAGAGTTCTAAAATCTACGAAGTAAAAAATTCCTACCCTATCCAGTGTCATGTTGGGTCTTTTGTTTGTTGGTTGCTTTTTAGTTTTTTCTCTGCTTGTCACTTAATCCCTGTCAATACGTTAGCCTGTTACAATGGAGCTCCACCCTAAATATTTTTAAATGGTCCCTTCAAAGGACAAAAATAAGCTATCTTATAAAAATGAGTATGATAACTATAAGGAAAAGCAATAATTAAACGTTTAAACTGATGCCTTCATTTTTCTCTGAGTAAATTTCTAGGTTTCAGGCAGAAGCGCTCCAAATACTATTAATTACTTTAAATATATTCAGAAAATTGGCATCATTCTTCTTATCTAAATATTTAAACCTTTTCAAGGATTTGATTTGTGCAAATTTAGAGCTGGAGTCTTTCAGATACATTCTTCATATTAGCTTTGTTTGCTTTGCCCTTTCCTCCCCACCTCCCAGCAGCATCACGTCCTCAAAGGGAACAGACCCTCTGTGGCACCCTGAGGATGTGTGTGTGGAAGGAAAGGGTGTGATCTTGCGCCCTCCTTTCAGAGACATGAGAGTGATCTTTATGAATTGCCTTAACAATCCATAATGCTGTTTTGATACTGCCTAAAAGCTGCGGTCACCTCTATGCTCCCAAAGCTAACATCTTGACCACCATCATGGTGAGTGAGTAGGTAAAGGTGGAGAGATGGGAAGTACAGTTCTTGATTGAGACAGAACTTAATTTATCTCATTCTTCAAATGGCAGGATCCAAAACGCGCTTTCACTAGCGAGGCTGGAATAGAAACTCAGAGCCCCCTAACATGTGGAGATGTCTGCTTGCCTGATCCTTGTAGACTCTGTCCTTGCAATAATAAGTTTTTTACATTCTTCTAGCCGATCAAAGACCAGGTCCCCTCTTATACACCTATCACAGGGTCTAGCATACTGAGTGTTTGGATCATGCAAATTGATCCTGTGATTAACAAACATGCTGATTGCAAACATCCTTCACTCTACAGCAGGCCTGGCCCAGTGGGACCCAGCAGATCCTGCTTCCCCCGGCGTGGCAGCAGCTGACTGGAGTGGCCACCCACACATCAGTGCAGCATGCGACTGTGATTCCGGAGACCATGGCAGGCACCCAGCAGTTGGCCGACTGGAGGTAAGCAGGAGAGCTGGTGTGTCTGGCCTGGGGGGCAGGTCCACCATGGACCCTGAAAGCTGCTGCTCTGGCCTGTACCTGAATTCCTGGTTCACATATAATTTTTTAAATTAAGAAGACTATTATGTGGAATGTGACTACAATGTAAGGAGATGTAATTTTTAAATAAGTGTGCCAGGAAACAAGAAAATCAGCTTCTTTACTTTATGGTCAGTTATCACTTTTGACCCAAAATTTAGTGACATCATTTAATCACCAGTATAATTCACCAAACTTGGCTCCGGATGATTTTTTGTTTCTCAGAATTAAATTCCACTCCCAAAAATCTAAGATTTTTTTATCACCAGTGAAAGAATGCAGAAGAGAGTCCCCAAGGTTCCTCAGCGATTCTAGGAAGTATTCTCAGGGTATTTTGCTATGTGGACACATTGGAGCCTTCTCAGTTCTCCCAGGAGAAGGCTTGACAGAACAGGATTTATTTCAAATGGTAGACTCTACTGAGTGTGGCTTTCAGTTGATAGTTAAGCTCGAAGTCCGCTTTCCACAGACCCCAGCGGCATCCGGCTAGCAGCCACCAGCACGCCACCCCAGCATCTGTTTTCAGAACATACCCACCCCACTCTCTGACTTCCTCACCACGCCATCCCAGCACCACCACATGCCCCTTCACCAGCGCAGAGCCACACGGCCACCCCTCCCACGTTGTCCCCAGCTTCCCATCACCCATGAGAGATAGTTTGGGCCGTTTCCCATTCGGCCCAAACATTGGGGCAGGTCATTCCCCTCCCCTCTGACAGGCTCCATACCGGCCATGTGGCCGCCCCCACAGTTCCCTCTCTGACCTAAAAGTCTATTGTGAATGAACAGCTCGCAGTAAATCGTAGAGAAATATAGAGATATAAGCCCCCAGCCAAGCCTCAACTACAGGTTCCTCCGCTCCTCGTTTAATGTTCTGACTCATCAAGAGAGTACATAGGCTCTTTCCCACAGCCCCACGCACTTCTCCCTGACTACACCTCCCCTAAGAGCACCCCCACTCATTAGAAATACTTTCAAACCAGGTAAAACTGGATTCAATTCTGGCTCTGCATGACCTGGGCAAGCTACTTAACCTCTATGAGCCTCAGTTTCTTCTTCCATAGAGTGGGTATAACAATCCTCACAGGACTGTTAGAGGCTGAAATTAAAATACAAAGCACTTGACCTGTATTTAATATGTACCATACCAGTGCCTGATACATGACGGTCGACAAATAAATCTGTCCTCCCTTCCCCCATTGGCATCAGTTCATGCTCAGAAAGACCATCTTCCCTCTCCAGCTCATTAGGAACAACAACCAAATGGGAAGCTGTTTGACCAGTTGTTCTTCCTCACCCCTTTTTCTCCTAAAAGACCAGATATATGTTGTACTCTTTTTTGTTTTCCCATTATCAGCATTATAGTTCATTTCATTTCAGCAATACTCACATATTCACTGATCCATGTGTATTCTCTTATTCCTCATCCCTCCTCTTACCTGGTTACGGCAGAAAACACTGAAAGCCTACACTCTTTCTTTCTCCATTTCATGCGTAGACCAAAGAACATCCATAATCATGGCTAATAAACAATAGACAAGTACCAGTGCTAGAACCTGTATCAATGGAAAAAGAGAACCGTGTCTGTAGAAGAAATAGCAAAAACAAAATATAGAAGCTAAAACATCAGTTTCTAAAACCCCTGTAAAGGTTCAAAAGACATTATCAAATCTCTACAAAAGTGTCTCCCTCTTCTTTTTTTTCTACTCATTTCCCCCAAGTTGCAAAGATAAATTTTACAATATTTTAAAAATTCAAATGAATTATCTTATAGCTTTTAATTTTGTTTATGTATTAAGTGGGCTTTTATGGGCAAGCCTCTGAATTAATCACCACTTTTAATATTTCTGTGGGAAAACAAGTCTTTGAGCTCCATACAACCCAGATCATAAGAGCTTTTGAAACATAACCCATTTTCAAGATGGCTACCAGCATTACTATCAGCATGTATGGCTGTTATCTTGATTTAATAACAAGTTCTCTCTCTCTACACACACACACACACACACACACACAGTGGCCAGATTATTATGACCACCCCATCAGTACAATGAAGTGAATTAGTTATGCAAATAATAATAATAATAATAAAACCTTGAGAGTATTTGCTTAGGACGTTTTCAATATTCAGTATTTTTGGAAGTGTCAGTGAAGTACTGATGGGGTGGTCATAATTATCTGGCCACTCAGTGTATGTATCTAGGCAACCTTCAGTTACTCTCATTGTTCATTCGGCATGGAATTAATTCATCAGCCATTACTTGCCTGAACACTGAGCTGGCCACTGAGAGAATTCAATAGCATGTTAACACTCAGCATCAAACACAATGGCTGCCAGTCTGCAGCGTTTGCCACATAAACTGCAATGTCTTCACTGATAAGACGGCATCACTGCCACACCCCGCCTGCCTAGCAGAGTGGTCAGCCCACTGAAGGCCATGGGTAAGTTCTGGGGAAGTTGGAGGGAATGTGTATCTGCTCTCCCGGAACCTGGGCTGAGCCTGCATGCTTGGCATTCGTTCTTCCTCTTTCTTACCAAGTGGGGTTCCTGCCCCTCCTTGAACAGCCCTGACACTTCCCTGCCCGGAAACTCACCTGATGAGCTCACTGGGCGAGGCTCATCCCTTCACTAGCCCACAGCCAGCAACAGAACCAATCTGGGGGGTTAATTTGCTTCTAACTGGGGAGGATACGTTATCTTAAAAAAGAAGCCCTGTGCCCTGGCCGGCTTGGCTCAGGGGATAGAGCGGTGGCCTGCAGACTAAAGGGTCCTGAGTTCAATTCTGGCCAAGGGCACATGCCTGGGTTGCGGGCTCCATCCCTAGTGGGGCGAGTGCAGGAGGCAGCCGATCAATGATTCTCTCTCATCATTGATGTTTCTCTCTCTCCTCCCTTCCTCTCTGAAACCAATAAAGAAATATATTTTAAAAATAAATAAAATCCCTTTAAAAAAAAAAGAAGAAGAAGAAGCCCTGTGTTTGTAAAAAGAATAAAAAGCCTGGTTTTCCCATCTCTCTTTCAGGAACACGCATGCTCACGGCAGCCATTACAATCCCATCATGCAGCAGCCCGCGCTCTTGACTGGTCACGTGACCCTCCCAGCAGCCCAGCCCTTAAATGTGGGCGTGGCCCACGTGATGCGGCAGCAGCCAACCAGCACCACCTCCTCCCGGAAGAGCAAGCAGCACCAGTCCTCTGCGAGGTGGGTGGGGCGTGGGCCCGGCGGTGAGAAACCTCTGGGCATCGAGAAACCTCTGGGCATCGGGGGCATCACCTGTGCTCCAGCCCGGCCTGGCGCCAGGAGTGGCGGGGACACGGTAACCGTGTGGCCGGAGCGGCGCTGGGAGGGAGGGGCACTCTCGGGTCTGGTCTGCGCGGGGTTGGCCCCCC